GCCATATAGTGGTGACTCTATGAGGTGCAGTTCCTGATCGCCATTTAGTGGTGACCATATGAAGTGCAGCTCCTGATCGCCATATAGTGGTGACTCTATGAGGTGCAGTTCCTGATCGCCATTTAGTGGTGACCATATGAAGTGCAGCTCCTGATCGCCATATAGTGGTGACTCTATGAGGTGCAGTTCCTGATCGCCATTTAGTGGTGACCATATGAAGTGCAGCTCCTGATCGCCATCTAGTGGTGACCCTATTAAGTGCAGCTCCTGATTGCCATCTAGTGGTGACTCTATGAAGTGCAGTTCCTTATCGCCATCTAGTGGTGACTCTATGAGGTGCCGTTCCTGATCGCCATCTAGTGATTACCATATGAAGTGCAGTTCCTTATCGCCATCTAGTGGTGACTCTACAAGGTGCAGTTCCTGATCGCCATCTAGTGGTTACCATATGAAGTGCAACACTTCTGCACACATACACCACAGCAATGAAGTATGAAAATGAACTAGGATCACACTAATACAGCACGTTATTAATCTCAGGTGCCCCACTCGATATGGCCGCCGCTGTAGTGGGGCACCTGAGATTAATAACCTGCTGGATGAGTGTGATCCTACTTCATTTTAATACTTAATTGCTGTGGTGTATGTGTATAGGTCATTGCTGTGCTGTATGTGTATAGGTCATTGCTGTGCTGTATGTGTATAGGTCATTGCTGTGCTGTATGTGTATAGGGCATTGCTGTGCTGTATGTGTATAGGGCAATGCCGCGGCTGGCGCTCGTGCAGAAGAAGTTTCTTGCCCAAACCTCGTAGTTCTAACTAAACCGGAAATCAGGCAGTTGCAGCTTTCGATAGAACACCGGAGGTGTCGCAGTGTATTGGTCGCCATCTAGCGGCGTTCCCCGGTACGACTCTTGCCAGCTTGTTCGCTGTCAATAAAGCTGTGTGAGGCCCTGTGTCCGGAGCGTCCTTGTGTCATGGCGGAGTATAAGGACAGTCGTTACGCCAGCCGGCCGGCGGAGTTGGATCCGGCCCAGTATTTTGGGCTGAGCCAGGAGAAGAGGAAGTTGCAGGAGGAGAGGGTCGCCGTGCGGTCCCGGCTGAAGAGAGACTACCAACTACAGCTCAATGACCCCCTGAGGAAGGGCTCGGTGGTGGGTAATGGGGGCGGGGGGGTAGAGGTCACCATAGGGAGGATGATGGGGTGGTAGATGTCCCCAGGTGGAGGGTAATAGGGAGCCGGGGGTAGATGTCCCCAGGTGGAGGGTAATAGGGAGTCGGGGGGTAGATGTCTCCAGGTGGAGAGTAATAGGGAGCCAGGGGGTAGTTGTCCCCAGGTGGAGGGTAATAGGGAGCCGCGGGTAGATGTCTCCAGGTGGAGGGTAATAGGCAGCCGGGGGGTAGATGTCTCCAGGTGGAGGGTAATAGGGAGCCGGGGTTAGATGTCTCCAGGTGGAGGGTAATAGGGAGCCAGGGGGTAGTTGTCCCCAGGTGGAGGGTAATAGGGAGCCAGGGGGTAGTTGTCCCCAGGTGGAGGGTAATAGGCAGCCAGGGGGTAGTTGTCCCCAGGTGGAGGTGGAGGGTAATAGGGAGCTGGGGGTAGATGTCCCCAGGTGGAGGGTAATAGGGAGCCGCGGGTAGATGTCTCCAGGTGGAGAGTAATAGGGGGCCAGGGGGGAGTTGTCCCCAGGTGGAGGTGGAGGGTAATAGGGAGCCGCGGGTAGATGTCTCCAGGTGGAGAGTAATAGGGGGCCAGGGGGGAGTTGTCCCCAGGTGGAGGTGGAGGGTAATAGGGAGCCGCGGGTAGATGTCTCCAGGTGGAGAGTAATAGGGGGCCAGGGGGGAGTTGTCCCCAGGTGGAGGTGGAGGGTAATAGGGAGCCGCGGGTAGATGTCTCCAGGTGGAGAGTAATAGGGGGCCAGGGGGGAGTTGTCCCCAGGTGGAGGTGGAGGGTAATAGGGAGCCGCGGGTAGATGTCTCCAGGTGGAGAGTAATAGGGGGCCAGGGGGGAGTTGTCCCCAGGTGGAGGTGGAGGGTAATAGGGAGCCGCGGGTAGATGTCTCCAGGTGGAGAGTAATAGGGGGCCAGGGGGGAGTTGTCCCCAGGTGGAGGTGGAGGGTAATAGGGAGCCGCGGGTAGATGTCTCCAGGTGGAGAGTAATAGGGGGCCAGGGGGGAGTTGTCCCCAGGTGGAGGTGGAGGGTAATAGGGAGCCGCGGGTAGATGTCTCCAGGTGGAGAGTAATAGGGGGCCAGGGGGGAGTTGTCCCCAGGTGGAGGTGGAGGGTAATAGGGAGCCGCGGGTAGATGTCTCCAGGTGGAGAGTAATAGGGGGCCAGGGGGGAGTTGTCCCCAGGTGGAGGTGGAGGGTAATAGGGAGCCGCGGGTAGATGTCTCCAGGTGGAGAGTAATAGGGGGCCAGGGGGGAGTTGTCCCCAGGTGGAGGTGGAGGGTAATAGGGAGCCGCGGGTAGATGTCTCCAGGTGGAGAGTAATAGGGGGCCAGGGGGGAGTTGTCCCCAGGTGGAGGTGGAGGGTAATAGGGAGCCGCGGGTAGATGTCTCCAGGTGGAGAGTAATAGGGGGCCAGGGGGGAGTTGTCCCCAGGTGGAGGTGGAGGGTAATAGGGAGCCGCGGGTAGATGTCTCCAGGTGGAGAGTAATAGGGGGCCAGGGGGGAGTTGTCCCCAGGTGGAGGTGGAGGGTAATAGGGAGCCGCGGGTAGATGTCTCCAGGTGGAGAGTAATAGGGGGCCAGGGGGGAGTTGTCCCCAGGTGGAGGTGGAGGGTAATAGGGAGCCGCGGGTAGATGTCTCCAGGTGGAGAGTAATAGGGGGCCAGGGGGGAGTTGTCCCCAGGTGGAGGTGGAGGGTAATAGGGAGCCGCGGGTAGATGTCTCCAGGTGGAGAGTAATAGGGGGCCAGGGGGGAGTTGTCCCCAGGTGGAGGTGGAGGGTAATAGGGAGCCGCGGGTAGATGTCTCCAGGTGGAGAGTAATAGGGGGCCAGGGGGGAGTTGTCCCCAGGTGGAGGTGGAGGGTAATAGGGAGCCGCGGGTAGATGTCTCCAGGTGGAGAGTAATAGGGGGCCAGGGGGGAGTTGTCCCCAGGTGGAGGTGGAGGGTAATAGGGAGCCGCGGGTAGATGTCTCCAGGTGGAGAGTAATAGGGGGCCAGGGGGGAGTTGTCCCCAGGTGGAGGTGGAGGGTAATAGGGAGCCGCGGGTAGATGTCTCCAGGTGGAGAGTAATAGGGGGCCAGGGGGGAGTTGTCCCCAGGTGGAGGTGGAGGGTAATAGGGAGCCGCGGGTAGATGTCTCCAGGTGGAGAGTAATAGGGGGCCAGGGGGGAGTTGTCCCCAGGTGGAGGTGGAGGGTAATAGGGAGCCGCGGGTAGATGTCTCCAGGTGGAGAGTAATAGGGGGCCAGGGGGGAGTTGTCCCCAGGTGGAGGTGGAGGGTAATAGGGAGCCGCGGGTAGATGTCTCCAGGTGGAGAGTAATAGGGGGCCAGGGGGGAGTTGTCCCCAGGTGGAGGTGGAGGGTAATAGGGAGCCGCGGGTAGATGTCTCCAGGTGGAGAGTAATAGGGGGCCAGGGGGGAGTTGTCCCCAGGTGGAGGTGGAGGGTAATAGGGAGCCGCGGGTAGATGTCTCCAGGTGGAGAGTAATAGGGGGCCAGGGGGGAGTTGTCCCCAGGTGGAGGTGGAGGGTAATAGGGAGCCGCGGGTAGATGTCTCCAGGTGGAGAGTAATAGGGGGCCAGGGGGGAGTTGTCCCCAGGTGGAGGTGGAGGGTAATAGGGAGCCGCGGGTAGATGTCTCCAGGTGGAGAGTAATAGGGGGCCAGGGGGGAGTTGTCCCCAGGTGGAGGTGGAGGGTAATAGGGAGCCGCGGGTAGATGTCTCCAGGTGGAGAGTAATAGGGGGCCAGGGGGGAGTTGTCCCCAGGTGGAGGTGGAGGGTAATAGGGAGCCGCGGGTAGATGTCTCCAGGTGGAGAGTAATAGGGGGCCAGGGGGGAGTTGTCCCCAGGTGGAGGTGGAGGGTAATAGGGAGCCGCGGGTAGATGTCTCCAGGTGGAGAGTAATAGGGGGCCAGGGGGGAGTTGTCCCCAGGTGGAGGTGGAGGGTAATAGGGAGCCGCGGGTAGATGTCTCCAGGTGGAGAGTAATAGGGGGCCAGGGGGGAGTTGTCCCCAGGTGGAGGTGGAGGGTAATAGGGAGCCGCGGGTAGATGTCTCCAGGTGGAGAGTAATAGGGGGCCAGGGGGGAGTTGTCCCCAGGTGGAGGTGGAGGGTAATAGGGAGCCGCGGGTAGATGTCTCCAGGTGGAGAGTAATAGGGGGCCAGGGGGGAGTTGTCCCCAGGTGGAGGTGGAGGGTAATAGGGAGCCGCGGGTAGATGTCTCCAGGTGGAGAGTAATAGGGGGCCAGGGGGGAGTTGTCCCCAGGTGGAGGTGGAGGGTAATAGGGAGCCGCGGGTAGATGTCTCCAGGTGGAGAGTAATAGGGGGCCAGGGGGGAGTTGTCCCCAGGTGGAGGTGGAGGGTAATAGGGAGCCGCGGGTAGATGTCTCCAGGTGGAGAGTAATAGGGGGCCAGGGGGGAGTTGTCCCCAGGTGGAGGTGGAGGGTAATAGGGAGCCGCGGGTAGATGTCTCCAGGTGGAGAGTAATAGGGGGCCAGGGGGGAGTTGTCCCCAGGTGGAGGTGGAGGGTAATAGGGAGCCGCGGGTAGATGTCTCCAGGTGGAGAGTAATAGGGGGCCAGGGGGGAGTTGTCCCCAGGTGGAGGTGGAGGGTAATAGGGAGCCGCGGGTAGATGTCTCCAGGTGGAGAGTAATAGGGGGCCAGGGGGGAGTTGTCCCCAGGTGGAGGTGGAGGGTAATAGGGAGCCGCGGGTAGATGTCTCCAGGTGGAGAGTAATAGGGGGCCAGGGGGGAGTTGTCCCCAGGTGGAGGTGGAGGGTAATAGGGAGCCGCGGGTAGATGTCTCCAGGTGGAGAGTAATAGGGGGCCAGGGGGGAGTTGTCCCCAGGTGGAGGTGGAGGGTAATAGGGAGTCGGGGGGAGATGTCCCCAGGTGGAGGGGAATAGGGAGTCGGGGGTAGATGTCCCCAGGTGGAGGGTAATGGGGTGTTAGAGGATGGTGGGGGAGGGGTTGGAGGTCCCCAGGTTGGTTGGCCCTCCAGTCACTGGTCTCTCTTCCTCTCAGCCAGACCCGGCGGTAGAGCGTTGGATGTTTTCTCGCAATTACAACATTTACCCCAACTTCAGAGCGACCCCCAAGATGTGTCTCCTGGGAGCCGTGTGCACGGTGGGGCCCATGCTGTTCCTCTACACCCTCATAAGCTGGGATCGGGTGAGTGACTCCTGTGTGTGGGCGGAGTCTGTGGTCGGTTGCACAGGGTGCGGGCGGTGTATCCCGGTGACGGTGCGTGTGCGGGCGGTCCTGCCCGGTGACTGTGTGCGTGTGCAACACCTCCCGCACGTGCACCCTGTGCAAGAACTATTTTTTGGGGGGGGGCGTGGCTGCGGTGCCATTGACTTCAATACAATGCCACGCCCCTTCCCTCGTCGGCCGGCCGATGTTGCACACGTGGAGAGGTGTCCCGCCCTGCTCCAGTCCGATCCACAAAAATGATGCAAGCACTAAATGCAGTCACTAATGTGCCTGCGTTTCGGGTGCGGGCGATCGCACTGTTGGCGGGGGCATGCCTGCGGTGCCATTGACTTCAATACAACCCCACACCCCCTCCCGCCCCTGAACGCAGGGAGGCCCCTTTCCATCTGCGGCGTCTAACACATTCAGCCGGCAGCCGCACGAGCACCCTGGGTGCATAGCCATAGCCTGCTCCTTTTGCACCCAAGGCAAGAAAAAAAACGCCCCCCCCAACAGGTGTGTGATGTCACCCAGCGCCCCGCCTCCAGGATTTTTTAATTTTTTTTTACTATTTTTAATTTTATTATTTGTTTTTGTTTTTTTTTATTTCTTTTATTTATTTATTTTTTACTGTTGGGGGGGCTTCGGGGAAATATTAGGGGTCTAAACAGCCCCCTGATATTTCCCTTTTAAAATAGAAAAAGAAATTGAGGACACAAAGTCCTCAATCCCTTTTTCTGCAGCCTCTGTTCTAAATTAATGGAGAGCACAGAGGCTTCCCATTCATTCAGAAAATATTTGACTATCAAGCAGTTTCTGAATGGGGAGGAGCCTCTGTAGTGAGTGCTTCTCCCCATTGAGAAACTCATGAATGAACAGGTCCCCAGTTCATTTATAACTGGGGACACAAAGCCCCAGATAGCAAGGATTACAGGGCGGGGGAGGAGGGAAAGACTTTTGTTACTGAACTGGGAGCTGGAGCAGAGAAAATCGCATCTCCTTCCCCAGCCTGACGGGGCTGTGCTGTGCGGCAGAGCTGTGTGAACTTCAGTAGTGGATGGACGGAGATATAAAGCGGCAGCACCCCCCCACCCCCCATACGGAGACCTGTGCCTGGATGAGGATTATTTTGGGTGAGGTCAGAGGTCGTCCTGCTTATCAGAGCTCTCGCTGTGCTGGATCCCACTGTGAATAGTTGGGAAGCTCCTAAAAGCCCCGCCCCCGAGTTGCCCCGCCCCTTTGTGTCTGGATTTCCATTGGTGGTGGCCTGGGAATGGGTCGTATGAGATTTTCGTGTTTTTGTTTTCGGTGACGACCTCCTTCTCTCTTCTCCTCTCTCACAGAAGCGGGTGCTGAAGATGTACGAGGATGGAACGTACAGCAGTCCGTGGGGATCCAACTTCTGAGCGCCGCTGAACCGCCACCGCGCCCTTTGTCATATAGAACTCTCCTCTGTGATTGGTTGCTCCCGAGGAACATGTGATGTATCCGGGAACAGAATTGTCACGTATTATAAATAAAGTTGTAAATCTGAAACGATGGGAGCCGTGTGCTGACTTCACCGAAATCCGATTCTGCGCGGACGGCGGCGTGATCCCTCCGGTCCGACTTCACTGCCTAATACTCCTCCCCCCCCCGCAATGCCGAATACTCTGAGCTCACGCTGTGCCCATTATGAGGGGCCCCCACCATCCCTGTGCTGAGTTCCCGGGTCTGTACATCCGCTGTGCCCATTATGAGGGGCCCCACCATCCCTGTGCTGAGTTCCTGGGTCTGTACTCCTGCTGTGCCCATTATGAGGGGCCACCACCATCCCTGTGCTGAGTTCCCAGGTCTGTACACCCGCTGTGCCCATTATGAGGGGCCCCCACCATCCCTGTGCTGAGTTCCTGGGTCTGTACCCCCGCTGTGCCCATTATGAGGGGCCCCCACCATCCCTGTGCTGAGTTCCCGGGTCTGTACACTCGCTGTGCCCATTATGAGGGGCCCCCCCCATCCCTGTGCTGAGTTCCCGGGTCTGTACACCTGCTGTGCCCATTATGAGGGGCCCCCACCATCCCTGTGCTGAGTTCTGAAGTGACACGTTACATGAAATCAGATGACAGGTCTGGAATCATTTAAAGGGTAAGTTTCATATTCATCTTCAATAGGACAATTGAGATCTATTCAGTATTCCTCGGGGGCGGGGTCACTTCTTGCTCGGGGGAGGGGGTTTGAAGTGGCTGCGCAGGGGCTCCCAGCAGCGGTAATACTCCTTGTCCAGGCGGTTGCAGGTCTCCAGCCCCCAGCGGGTGACGGCCATGCTCAGCGAGGACTCGAACATGAACGCCTGCGGGAGGGAGAAGGAAGCGGCAGTCTTATATGCAATTTATAAAAAATGGCGACATCGTTTCTCGAAGCTAAGCCCCGCCCCCTCCTTCAGTCTTCTATCTGACCTCCGTCCTTCCCTTCAGTCTTCTATCTGACCTCCGTCCTTCCTTTCAGTCTTCTATATGACCTCCGTCCTTCCCTTCAGTCTTCTATCTGACCTCCGTCCTTCCCTTCAGTCTTCTATCTGACCTCCGTCCTTCCCTTCAGTCTTCTATCTGACCTCCGTCCTCCCCTTCAGTCTTCTCTCTGACCTCCGTCCTCCCCTTCAGTCTTCTCTCTGACCTCCGTCCTTCCCTTCAGTCTTCTATCTGACCTCCGTCCTTCCCTTCAATCTTATATCTGACCTCCGTCCTTCCCTTCAGTCTTGTATCTGACCTCCGTCCTTCCCTTCAGTCTTCTATCTGACCTCCGTCCTTCCCTTCAGTCTTCTATCTGACCTCCGTCCTCCCCTTCAGTCTTCTATCTGAGCTCCGCCCCCTCATTCAGTCTTGCCCAGTTGTACCGCCTCCTCTGATGTCACTGCACACTGTGATCTCCTCACAATGCGCATTAGAAGCTGCAGCAAGTCAGATAGAGCCCGCCCCATTTCCTGGCTGGAGGACCTCCAGCATCATCCAGTGCTCATGAATGAACAGGAAGTGATGTAAAGTGATTCCTCGGCAGCCAGACTGGCCCCGCCCCCTCCAGTCTTGCACAGTTGCCCCCTGGGCCCCGCCCATCCTGTTCATTCGATCATGGAGGCTCAGGCCTCACGTGTCACGCTTACCATCGTCCCTTCGGCCACGCGCTCGGGCTCCAGCTTGGCGTTGCTGGCCTTCTCGAAGCACTCGGCGTCGGGCCCGTGGGGCGTCATGGCGCTGTGCAGGCTGCCCCCGCCGGGCTGGAAGCCGTCCTCCTTGGCCTCGTAGCGGCCCTTAATCAGCCCCATAAACTCGCTCATGCAGTTCCCTGAGGACGAAGGACACAAAACGTGACCCCCACCGACCACATCGAGAGGGGCGTCTACACCCCGTGACCACGGCGGGCCCACCAGAGGACGTCCAGGTCCTGAAACCGAGGCGCATGGAGTGACAGGTCCTCTTTGTTACATTGCCGGCCATACCCAGACCTGCCACACGGGCCACCAAAACCTTGTTTCCTTCATTGGGGAAGGGGGATCCCACCCCGAGCTACTCACTGTGATAATAGGGGGGGCGGAAGGTGCGGTTCGCCACCCCCCAGCGTGGAGGAAAGATGACGAAATCCGCAATGGCCACGCCGGGCCTCAGGGACTTGGCTGTCAGCACGGTGAAGATGGACGGGTCCTGCGAGGGGGGAGGAGCACAATGAGGTCACGTGTCTGATGGGTCAGAAGATCATCTGATGGAAAGCAGCCGACTCACCGCATGATCGAACGCCACGCAGTTTATCACCATGAAGGTCTCCAGGTCGTACTTGTAGGGAGCGTAGTTCCCGTGCCACGCCGCCACGTTAAACGGTGAAAAGTCCTTCAGGGGGATAAAGAACACAGAGGTCTTTCAAGCCGGACATACATGTTACAATGTGACCAGGGGCGTCCCGGGGGCCGGGTGTCACCCCGCCGTGTCGTCATCGCGCATGTGCGTGACATCATCACGCATGCGCGTCCATCTGAGTGATGGAGGGAACGTTCACCTGGCGGGATGAGGTATGCCGCCGGGTCCCCTCCTCTCTCCTGACACTGTCGGGCTCTCGGTCCACGACTTTTAGAGGGGGGGGGACACCAAAATGACTATCAGTCCTTTTGGTGTCACCCCTTCAATGGTGTCACCCAGGAGCGGGCCGCACCCCCCTTGTGACGCCACTGAAAGTGACACAACTTCCCCCAAGGATGCATTCCCGCCGTCCCCTGCGCATTCTTACATGCGTCATCAAAGTGCGCTGCCGCTGCCCTTGTGCTCCACGTTGACGTGTCAAAGACGGGACACGCACAGAATGAGCTCCTCCTACTGACGGGAACTACCAATCGGCTTTGTATTTTGATATTTGCATAACTCCTCCCAGGAGCCGGCCCACTGCTTTCATCGGAGCAGTACTGAGGCAGAGTCCTTCTTTGGG